TTGATATCCCCGATAAGCTACAAATATGTACATATACATGAGTCAAAATAAACACACAAGAGGGAGCCTTCACAAAGGTTGCTTAGGAGAAGTCTCAGCAGTCGGTAGAGCCCCAGAAAGAGAAGGCGCCGGACGGGGATCATTTGGAGCCTCAGTACTGGACAGAACCCTAGAAGGAGGATGCATCAGAGGTTGATCATTTGGAGCTTCATTACGCGGTACAGCCCCAGAAGACGAAGGCAATAAATGTCTTTGGAACAAACCCACAAATCTCTGATGATCAAGTAAAACCTGACCATCAGTTTCCTTCATCTGGTCAAGCTTCCTCTTCATGTTTGTAGCATAGTCATGTGCGAGCCGGTGCAACTGTTTATTCTCATGCTTGAGCCCTCTAATCTCCTGTTTGAGACTCATCACTTCAGCCACCAATGATTCAACTTGGCGGGTTCGAGCAAATAGGCGTTGGGCCATATTAGACACAGAACCTGCACACTGAACACTGAGAGCCAGCGAATCCTTAACAGCTAACTCATCAGACCGTTTGGAAAGTAGTCTGTTATCTTTGGGAATGAGAAGGTTCCTGACCACCACCGCAGCGGTCATATCATTCTTCATCACGGAATCCCCAACGGTAAGAGGACCAGTAGGGGAGACGAAGGATGGGCGCCATATGTTGTCTGGAGAAGGCGGGGCTGCCTCTTGAACAAGGTTCAAGTCAAAACGACGGTCGGATGGGCCAGACATTTTCAAATGTGTTGAAGAGAGAAGAGGTCGGACAAATCAAGATCTTAGAAGTGCAAGAATGAAGCTTCTACTGGTGGAGATTTTAAGTGTGCTTTGGAACTTAATGCCAGCCCCTATAAAAATCTGCACTCGACGGAGCTTCAGAAATCGAAGAGGCGCCTGCTCAGAAATCGAAGAGGCGTTTGCTTTCTCAAAAGCTGGGCTGCTTAGAGATCACGAGGGTTGATCTCAGAAATCGAAGAGGCGTTTGCTTTCTCAAAAGTTGGGCTGCTCAAAGACCACAAAGGCCGATCTCAGAAATCGAAAAGGCGCTCGCTTTCTCAAAAGCTGGGCTCCCCAGAGACCACGAGGGCCGATCTCAGAAATCGAAGAGGCACCTACTTTTCCAGCCTTGTCAGCACCTGTCACACGCACACTCAGCTTTGCAGAAATTATGGGCATTCTGTCGAAGACTTCTGGGGAAGTAGAAAACACATGAATCTTACTGTTCAATCACCCACTTCCCACACGCAACAATAGCTCATGGGTACCACAGAAAACTTTGCCAAAGTTCTCTGCCAAAGTTGAGCACGTGAAGCTTGCAGCTCCCACTACATCGCTCTGACCAAGAAGGGTAAAAAAACAGCAAAGAAACAGCACTAACAAAGTTTAGACCCATAAATTTTGAAGGTCTAGCTACCATATTATTACCCACAAGGGTAAAGGAACAGTACCACTACTGGATAATTGGAAAGTCCCTGTGTGTCAACCTCTGTGCTTCGTGGCAAGGTTAGACTAGCAAAACATGCCCAACATTTACTCACATTCGAGAGAAAACACTCCCAATAAGATTGCTTGCTCCAAAATCGAAGAGGCACCGTCCTCCGAATCTCGAGAGCCTGACTCCCAACATGACTACTTTCTTAAAAATCGAAGAGAGGGTAAAGGAACAGTACCATTGCTGGATAACTGGAAAGTCCCTGTGTGTCAACCTCTGTGCTTCGTGGCAAGGTAGACTAGCAAACATGCCCAACCTTTACTCACATTCGAGAAAACACTCCCAACAAGATTGCTTGCTCCAAAATCGAAGAGGCACCGCCCTCCGAATCTCGAGAGCCAGACTCCCAACATGATTACTTTCTCAAAAATCGAAGAGACACTGCTCCCCGAATCTTCGAGAGCCAGACCCCAGCATGATTGCTTTCTCAAAAATCGATGAGGCATCGTTCTCCGAATCAATCAAAGAGGCGCTCGCTTTCTCAAAAGCTAGGCTGCTCAGAGACAACGAGGGCCGATCTCAGAAATCGAAGAGGCACCTACTTTTCTAGCCTTGTCAGCACCTGTCACACGCACACTCAGCTTTGCAGAAATTATGGGCATTCTGTCGAAGACTTCTGGTGAAGTAGAAAGCACATGAATCTTACTGTTCAATCACCCACTTCCCACACGCAACAATAGCTCATGGGTACCACATATAACTTTGCCAAAGTTCTCTGCCAAAGTTGAGCACGTGAAGCTTGCAGCTCCCACTACATCGCTCTGACCAAGAAAGGTAAAAGAATAGCAAAGAAACAGCACTAACAAAGTTTAGACACATAAATTTTTGAAGGTCTAGCTACCATATTATTACCACAAGGGTAAAAGAACAGTACCACTGCTGGATAATTGGAAAGTCCCTGTGTGTCCAAACTCTGTGCTTCGTGGCAAGGTAGACTAGCAAACATGCCCAACCTTTACTCACATTCGAGAAAACACTCCCAACAAGATTGCTTGCTCCAAAATCGAAGAGGCACCGTCCTCCGAATCTCGAGAGCCAGACTCCCAACATGACTACTTTCTCAAAATCGAAGAGAGGGTAAAGGAACAGTACCATTGCTGGATAATTGGAAAGTCCCTGTGTGTCAACCTTTGTGCTTCGTGGCAAGGTAGACTAGCAAACATGCCCAACCTTTACTCACATTCGAGACAACACTCCCAACAAGATTGCTTGCTCCAAAATCGAAGAGGCACCGCCCTCCGAATCTCGAGAGCCAGACTCCCAACATGATTACTTCCTCAAAAATCGAAGAGACACTGCTCTCCGAATCTCGAGAGCCAGACCCCCAGCATGATTGCTTTCTCAAAAATCGAAGAGGCATCGTTCTCCGAATCTCGAGAGCCAGATACCACAGACCACTTTTTCAAAGTGCTCTGACAGAGTTAAAACATGTGCAACTGGCAGCTCCCATAAATGAATAGCATTACTACTTGTTGTTAGGGAGACTCCTATATATGTCGACCTCCATCCCCAACGGACAGGCAGACCTGCAAAAATGCTCAACCCTTCATCATATCTGAGAGGGCACTCCCAACGAAGCCTTTCGAAATATTCAGCTTTCTTTCCCCCCGATAATACCTCTGCAAACAAGCTATACTAGAGCAAGAATATCTCATATCATCAGGGTTAAAAGCAAGAGTATCCCATATCATGCTTTTTCCCTGTCTTTTCCTTTGGCCTTGTTTTTTTACCTGCAAGACAAGGAGAAAGAGAGCAATCAGTCAGCACTTGGAATCAAGCTTCCAGCCAGGAACTGACTGCCTGGAACCCCTTACCTGATTACTTACCTGACATTGCTCTCGAGTACTCATCTTCAACATCTTACGTTTCCAGGGAAGATTCCGCATCTGCTTGAGGAACAGATAGGGCAAGTGTGCGAAGGATACAAGGAAGCATGTGGAGACAAGCGTAACAGCACACGTGCCGATACATCCATTACTCTGTCAAAAGCAAAAGTATCCCATATCAGCAGGGTGGAACGTACTCTAGATTTGATGGACTTGTTTTGACCCTCAAATTCTTCAGTCGGCCTTATACTCTGGAGGAAACCAGAAAAACCCTCCAGCTCAGTTTAAGAATAAGCCTGTGGAAAGTTACTTCTTCAAAAGCAAAAGTATCTCATATCATCTCTTCTCATTTTTCTTCTCTTTATCCTTCATGCTGCTGCAAGATGGGGAGAAGGTGAACAATCAGTCGGAGCTCTGATTGCTTACCTTGTCTGTCACCTCTTTCAGCAGACCCCCTAGCTCGGCGACTTGGGGGACTTCTACTACATGGTTTGTATCGTGCTTGACCAAGCCTGAAACTACAAGTAAGCTTCAAGTGAAATTGATACATTACCTTGTGCATCTCCACCAGTTAAAAGATACCACCCCTGGATGGAGGAAGAGTACTTCCAGAGAAGATGCCACATCTACCTATGAGACAGATAAGGCAAGTCAAGACGACACCACACTCCGATACTTAGAAGTTTCGTGATTACGAGATCATTCTCCCACAATATTTCCTAATGTCATTTGTACTAAATCATTCACTTGTACTCACTAAAGGAGAGCTTGAACCTATGTACTTGTGTAAACCCTTCACAATTAATGAGAACTCTTCTATTCCGTGGACGTAGCCAATCTGGGTGAACCACGTACATCTTGTGTTTGCTTTCCTATCTCTATCCATTTATATACTTATCCACACTAATGACCGGAGCAATCTAGCGAAGATCACAAAAAGCGATCGTTTTCGCTACCTAGGATCTATCTTGCAAGAGAACGGAGAATTAGATGGGAGATCTCAACCATAGAATACGAGCTGGATGGATGAAGTGTAAGAATGCATCCGGCGTGTTGTGTGACCGTCGTAGGCCACTGAAACTCAAGGGAAAATTTATAGGACGGCAATAAGGCCAGCGATGTTGTATGGCACAGAATGTTGGGTGGTGAAGCATCAACACGTACACAAAATGGGTGTAGCGGAGATGAGGATGCTTCGTGGGATGTGTGGGCACACGAGAAAGGATAAGATTGGGAATGAGGATATCCGAGGTAAAGTAGGAGTAGCCGAAATTGTAGGAAAGATGAGAGAAAATCGGCTCCGGTGATTTGGACATGTGCAAAGAAGGCCGACTGACGCTCCGGTTCGAAGATGTGACTACGGGACAGAGGTTCAGGGCCGAAGGGGTAGAGGAAGACCTAGGAAAACTTTGGAAGAGACTCTAAGAAAAGACTTAGAGTACTTGGATCTAACGGAGGACATGACACAAAACCGAGCGCAATGGCGTTCTAGGATTCATATAGCCGACCCCACTTAGTGGGAAAAGGCTTTGTTGTTGTTGTTGTTGTTGTTGTTGCACTCCATGGATGACGAAGTTCACGATGATAAAATTTAAATATGAAATTTAAAGTTTATGTTTATAAAATACATTATTAAATAGATAAGTGATACTGATCGATAATTGTGGCAGAAGTAGCAATAATACTAATTTTATTCCCATATAATTAATTTTCTTCTCAAGGAAGACAGAAGAATTTATACACAACTCTGCAAGTGATTGAATTTTTCAAAAACACGAGGCAATCTCCATTAGAGTTCACCAGACAGCTTCTTCTCCATGCTCCAGTGTTTGCTGGTAAATAAACCAAACCCGAATCGCTCTCTTCCACGCAGCTTGATCCGAAAAAGAAAATTTCCGTGTGTTTATTGAACAGTAAAGCAGTGGATTTTTGCATAAGTTAGAGTTTAATGGCACTCATTCTGTACATATACAACTCTTCTCTTTCCACACCCAAAAAATAAGATCCTCTCAATCACACTAACCACAAAACTTCACAGACCTTTGCTTCAGGGGTTGAACAATTTTCTCACTTTGTGAATCAGCCTTCTGCATATTGGACACACCTTATTCTCCCCCTCCATGATCCTGCAAGATTTATTTCGGTAAAAATCTCGAGAGCAAAAGCAATACATGTGTGAAAGAAGAATATGAAAGCGAGCGGTGTATCTATATCGGTGTATATATGTACCTTTGAGCACAGTCATAGCAGGTGGCACAATGACCACAAGGAACGAAGAAGGAATTGCGCTGCTCGTCGTAACAGATTACGCATAATTTTTCGTCGTATAATTCCTCCGAGGAGCTACTAGAAGCTCCTGAATCTTCATCTTCTTCATTTGTCCCGTATGTCTGTCGAAGAATCGTCTTATGCGGCACTATAGGGTAAGTCTCGTTAACTTCTTCCACTGCTGTTTCAACTAAAGTACGATCCTCACCATCACAGGCTCCAAGGTATTTCAGTATCAGAAAAATAACCACCACAATAAACCCTGAAAGTTGGACATAAATAAATGATTGAAGCAATTACAAATTACTGAAAAAATACTGAAAGCTCAACAGAACTGAGGTCTATTTCAGATTTCGTACCTAAAATCGCAATGTAGGTAACTACGCGAGCCACGAACGAAAGCTCGATGTACCAATCACCAAGATCTCCCTGCAGCGACTTTGTTGGTTACGTTGGCACAAAATTAGTAACAATTTGAGACAATGTATGAGATCTGGCCTTACATTGTTAGGTGTTGTTAGTATGACATAGTGAGTATTGGGGAATACGAGGCTGAGCCGGCAAGACCCCTTCGTTGTTGAACAGACGTCCTTAGCTTTCGTAACATCATACATCGTTGATGAAACACTTACATTCACTAATGCAATTAGGCTCCTGGGATCTGTGTTTATGAATTCAAGGTAGTACTTGTCATCTTCCTCAATATTGTACTCAGCTTCTTTACCTAACAAAAAGCGCTTACGATGATCATTTTGCACATAAACTTTGTGATCAGTGTTTTTAGGCTCCTCGAACACGTTTTTTTACTTTCTGAAATCTAATTGTGCAACAATAGTTTCAAAAATGAAGAATCTGTTACCGATTTTGGGTTCATTGAGGGCGAGGCTGTCCTGAGAACTTGTTTGTTCCGGCTGCAATATTTCGACTTTTTGTTCCCCTGTCAAAACGTGCATTACATTTGTTTTAAGACGAGTCTAATATGTAATTAAGCTGCAAACAACAAACGATATTTTCTTTCGGAAGCATGACAGTTTTCATTAAATTTGCCCATCAAATGATGTTTATTTTTATTTAAATTTGGGTTCATAATGTAACCGAAACAGAAAATTTTGGGTTCTTAGTAAAATGCTGACGTGTATTGACGCATTCTTTGGAGAACAAAATTGGTCAAGAAAATAAATTGCAAATTGAAAACTTACCTTTAAGCATAACAACTTGTAGTTGATTTAAGATAGTAGCATGAGCTTCCAATCTCATGGACAAACTTGAACCCTTGTTTAACCAGAAGGAAAAACCCTGAACACAAAATTTCAACCTCTCTGGAGATCCAAATCAATAATTTGGAGGGAAAATGCAGAATTTGGGAAAATCCAAAACCCTAAAGGAAACAATTTGATTTAAAATAAAATGTAAATTTTCAGTTCCTACCTTGCGATTATATGATCCAAGAATCAAGTAATCGTGCACGCTCCAGTTTGTTTGGTGGTTCAATTTAGGCTCCTCCGAGAAAGCGTAGAGAGAAACCCCTTTCCTGTCAACGTCTCTCACTTCAACATGTTTGACAAACGGCACTAGCCCTCGCGGGTCCCGAGTCCATCCGGGGTCGCCCGTATCGGAGACTCAACTGCCGTATCGGAGACTCACCGAAACTGCCAAAAAAAAAAGTGAAATGCTCTGTTGAGATGGAAGGGTTAGCGGAGGAAAATTGGTACTGAAGATAAAAAATGTATGTGTACATGCCACATATCCAAAGGGTCAGAGGAGTGAGGAGTCGAGCCCAAGTCTCTTGGCACCGCTGAGGCCTGGCCGGAGGCGTCTGGTGGGCCCACATCGAGCGGTACATGGCTGCGAAGAAGGATGGCGAGGTAGCAGAGAGAGGTAGAGAGAGGAGGAGGTGTGAGAGGAAATTGTTGTTCTGCTGGAGGAGAGGAGAGGAACCCTTGGGGGATTGGGGGGTAGAAGACCAGTAGCTTTCCGTTTGGTAGTTGGTTTGGTTCTTCCATAAGCTCAACTAACCGTTTTTTGAAGTGGTTGGCGCAAACTTTGAATGGCAAGTTTTTATGAATGGTAGGTGTTAATTTCTGTTTGGGGCAATCTTGTACTTGTAAGTTGTAAGAGACATAGTTGTTCACTTCTCAAATGTGGTTTAAATACAAGAAAGAAATAGTGAAACCACTTTTTTTTTGTTTCCACAAACAAAGATAATTAATAATTCATTCATTGAAATTATATAATATGAAAAAGCTAACGATTTTGTCGATTAATTTTTTTTTTATAAAAGTGGTGTAGTCGTCTATCATTTATTGAAATGTTAGGCATTGAATCTCTAGGTTCGATAATGAGCATTGAATCTCCAAAATCGATCCCCAACATCAGGTCCTCAGGTTTGGGTCCGAACTCCTGGTTCCAGACACAGGATCATGACACAATGAAAAATCTTTTAACAAACTATTAAGTCTTTTCTTAGGATGTCGTCCACGCTGAAGGAAGCGATTTGTTAAAAATTGGATTGTTTGTATGGTCTATTTAAAATTATTCAAGCAGCTGTTTTCGTACACGCTAATTTTGGGTGCGCCTTCTCTGCAATCTAATCTAGTGCTATAAAATTCAAAGAATAAAGTAAGATTAATTTTTCATGAACTAATAAGATGCTAAGACATTGATCTTATATTAACAAGAAAAAACAGCTCCAGCATCTCAACATATCAATGGAAACTTCATTCTTCTCTTTCTTTCTAACTTTTTAACTTCTTTCTTTTCGTTTTTTCTCAAAACTATTTGGCAGAAAATAACAAAAAACTCCCACCAAAGCCCCCCCGTCGTAGCCATTCTAAACCTCTTCAAAAAAAAAAAACCCTCCACAGACTTGCCGAACTCTCCACAACATGGACCAATACTACCTCCGATTCGGCTCCCGCCTGTCCCGCTCTCTGCCCTTCGTAATCTCCCCTTAGCGGCTGAGGAAATTCTTATTCCATCCACAAAAACGACATCGCTTTTTGCAACCGCCCGTTAGCTGCTTGCCGGAAAACACCTCGGATACAACACCACCCTCACCTGGGCCTCTTACGGCTCCCACTGGCGCAACTTGAGAAACGCATAGCGTCCCTGGAGTTATTGTCAATCCAATAGAGTTCAATGCTTTTATGCATCCGTCTCGATGAAGTCAGGTCCTTGATTTCCCGGCCTTTTTCGAGGGCGAAGGGTCTGGTTTAGTATTTGCTCGTGCGGCTGTGCTTTTGAAAAAAGCTGCTGGTGAAAAAACGAGGGACTGTGCTGTGAGAAAGGCGGCTGTGAAATAATCAGCAGTAGTGTTTGGGTAAACTCTTTTTGTAAAAGGCTTTGGAAAGAAAAGCAGTCTAAATAGTGGGTCTTTTCATTAAAAGAAGCACTGTAGCTCGGTGCTTTGAAAAAGCATTTGTTTCCAAGCACACATAGCAGCATCAGCTTTTCCTTTTGATCAGCTTATTCTCACAAGCAGCCTTGTTCAAATACAGCCCCTTTTTTTCAGTTTACCAAACACCTCTAAACCCTCACGAGCTTCTTTTTCATGATGCTTTTTTTAAGCAGACCTCACTCCCAAACTAGTTCGAAAGGTAGCAGCGAATTTCAGAGTTTGGCCATGAAGTCGGCGTTTTTCGAGCTGACTCTGAATGTTCTGATGAGGATGAATGCGGGAAAGCGGTGCCATGGGGAAAATGTGGCGGATTTAGAGGAGATTATTGCTGAGAACTTTCGGTTGAGTGGCGCTACTAATCTTGGAGATTTTCTGCCGGTTTGGAAGTATGTGGGGGTAAGTGGCCCCGAGAAGAAATTGATGACACTCCACTAGAAAATGGAAAAATTCATGCAAGATTTAATCCAAGAGCGCCGAGAAAAGCAGAGTGGCTCTGTTTCTGAACAGAGGAGCAAGTCCATGGTGGACGTCTTGCTTGCCCTGCAAGAAACTGAACCGGAATATTATACTGATGAGATCATAAGAGGCATGCTGCAAGTAAGCTCTCTCAACCAAAAAATAAATAAATAAATCTTTGAAGTTGAAGAATAATTGCAGTAATTTTCTGCTTAAAGATAATGAATTGTTTAATTGGTTTGGACGAAGATAATGTCCAATATTTGTTGTGTTATAATGCATCCAAGTTGCATTAAGGACTTGCCTGCACCAGGTACGCCGTTGTAGTGCAATATTCTAAATCAATAGCACAATGTAATGTGTTTTAACTATTGTACATGGAAGTTTGTTATTGGTTTATAATACCGTCACAGTCGCATAACCGGTGTAACTAAGTAAGTCCCTCTCCAAGTTACAATATAAAATTTAAGACAAAAACTACCAGTGTCAGCAAGTCTTACAAGGACTTGAGTTTGAGAGAGTCTAAATAGAGATCTTCAGTTTCCCAAACTCCTAATTAGACCGCTTGACCAAAACAGTGTATATACACATTGTACAGTCAGAGTTTAGCAGAGGAGGGACAACCCTCATCTGGAAACCCATGGGAATGGGCTCTATCACTTTTGCTCAACAACCCAGAAGCCCTAGCAAAAGCTGAGACTGAAATGGATATCCACATGGGAAAAAGCAAGGCTAACTTGAAGGATAGACTCGCCGCCATCTCGGCCACAGACTCCGGATGTACCCAGCCAGGCATTGGTGCTTGCCCACAAACGATTCCATCGAGGATTGCACTGTGGGGGGCTTCCACGTTCCACGTGGCACGATGTTGCTGGTGAACATATGGGCCATACAGAACAATCCAAAGCTGTGGGCACAGCCTGGACAATTTAAACCAGAGAGGTTTATGAATGGACAAGGGGAAAGAGATGGTTTTGTGTTGTTGCCGTTTGGGACCGGGAGGAGGGGCTGCCCTGGGGAAGGGTTAGCAATGAGGATGGTTGGACTTGCATTGGGGTCTCTGATTCAGTGTTTTGAATGGAGAGGATTGGGGAGGAGATGGTGGACATGACTGGAGGGCCTGGACTCACCATGCCAAAGGCTCTCCCTTTAATTGCGAAGTGTAGGCCACGCCGAAAAATGCTTGCCCTGCTTTCTCAACTCTAAAGAATATCCAGTGGGCCTTTTTGGTGGTTGTCTTATAGGAAAACTAATGAAAATGGTTTGAGAACTTTGAGTTTTAACGATAAAGACAAAGTAAAGGGTAAATAAATAGTATCATGATTGACTTTTTAGTGTAAAAATATGGTTTTTTGTTAAAGTGAACAGTACCAGGAGATTTTCGTTTTCATATATGTCTTCTCCATAAGTATTTGGGTGGTATAGTAAATGATTCTTGAGTGGATGGTGAAATACAAGACTTTGGTATCGTGCTTTACAATTTACACAGCACGTCAACATCATCATGACTACTAAATTTTGTTAAGGGTGTGGTATTCATGCACCTTTTTTTACTTTTGACGCACATTTTCAATTTACGGTAGTTGGATAAGATGAATTCAAGAATATCAAAGGACATAAATTAACAAGAGGTGTGAGAGAAGTAAAAAATGATGTGTAGATAGCATGCCCATTTTGTTAAAAGAAATGTGTGGATAGAACACCCCTTTTGTGTGATGATATCGCACACATCTGGAGCCACAAATTGTCAATTGTGCCTAGCTTCTACTAATCTGATGCATACATTCAAATCAAAGAATTAAACAGTAAGATACAATCACGCACAAATAATATAACTATTTACAGAGTTCATATTATATCCCATTACAATTGTCATTGTCACGTGATGAGTTAGTAACATGAGAGAAGTTCACCATGAAGTGGGGTTGCTTGTTCGATGCCATAACTAGATTCCAACGTCTCTCTTCCTTCTTATTTTTCAACAACCAACAAGATTTTTTTTCAAGTGGGGTTGCTTGTTCGATGCCATCACTAGATTTCAACATTTGTCTTCCATCTTACTTTTCAACCATTAATAAGAATTTTGACTAATTTTTCATAGGTGCTATCCACACACCTTATTTTATTTCTTATACACCTCATGATAATTTATATCTGTTGATCTTCTTCAATACATCCGATCCAACGGCCGAAAATTAAAAAAATATGTAAGAAGTAAAACGGGATGTGTGAATATCACATCCATTTTTCATATAATCCTTGAAAATGTGAAATTTTAAACAATCAATATATTATAGAAAAAAAGAAACTTCAAACATAAGTGTTGAAAGAAATGTGTGGATGGAGCACCCTTATATTAAGAAGTACATACAGCTTGCAGACATCAGCATATCAATGGAAACTTCATTCTTCTTCTTCTTCTTCTACTTTTTACTCTTCATTTTCTTTCTTTTCCTCAAAAAGTATTTGCAGAAAATTAACAAAAAACTCCCACCAAGCCCCTCTCTTTGTTTCCCAGTCATAGGCCATCTCTACCTCTTCAAAAAACCCCTCCACAGAACACTTGCCAAACTCTCCAACAAACATGGACCAATAACATATCTCCGATTCGGCTCCCGCCCGGTCCTCCTCGTATCTTCACCGTCCGCCGCCGAGGAATGCTTCACCAAAAACGACATCACTTTTGCCAACCGCCCTAAGTTCCTCGCAGGAAAACACCTC